GATCTCACGTAGAACGTAAGATTAATAACAGCTTCAAGATCTATAGAAGTTCAATCGTAGCAGACTAACATACTAGCTTGACGCTAGATACACAGCTACATCACAATTATAAGACAACTATAGAGGACAATCTTTTGTGTCTTCGAGTGACTACAACATTCTAACTACTCATTAACGAAATCCGCTGAATCCAGCACAACTGTGCATTAACCTGGAGAGTAAGGGAAGCAGCTCGGAAAAGTCCAGGATCAAATGCACTGATAAATTCAGTGTACTCGGTGCCATAATGGACGGCAAGCGGGATAATGAAACCCACATTCGTAGGCGCATACAACTCGCGGGGCAAAGAATGGCATGACTCCAGAAAGTTTGGAACTCGCATGATGTAAGCCTGAGGCAGAAGTTTATTTTTCTCCGAAGTGTGGTATTCTCGGTATTATTATATGCTATCGAGTGCTTTACCCTTAGCGAAGACGAGACGGAGAAATACTGTGCATTTTACAACAAGTGTATACGGGGGATGTTGCAAATATCGCCTTTGTCGCACACCAGAAACCGCGAAATTTGGAGTAGGTCTGGCTGCCCTGATTGTCTGACAATCATTGCCACATAGTCCTTAGAATGCGTCGCTTACGTTGGTACGGCCACATCCTCAGAACCCCCCCCCCCCCTCCCGCATCTGTAGTGAACAGACTACTGTTGTGGGATCCGGCATATCACTTGGGAGCTCAGATAAGCGGCAGGAAGAGAGAAGGGTGGAATCTAACCTGGATGGATCTCATAGCAGGGGATTTGAGGCTGGCGAATTTGTCGCGAGGAGATTCTCAGAACCCAGTTCTCTGAGAGAGACGGATTAAAGCTTTGAGACCGAGATAAAAGAGAGAAAGAAAGCTCTGAAAAGGAATCTCAGTCAAGTGCTGGTCTCCTTGTGGTGAGTACGTCGACCTTATAAACAAGCCAACTTGCCGTCAGCTGTTGGTTTCGTCGACTGGACGAAAACGGCCGAGAGCGAGAGAGAGAGGGAGAGAGATTCCTAAAGGCGCCTTAAAGTGATTACTTGAGTAGTCAAACAGAATGCTAGAATTACTCAGGGTATACTTGAGGTGTTACTTAAGTTTAAGGCGCAATTTTCTCCTATGAAAAGGCCCAATGTATCCTGCAAGACATATGGGAACCCACTCAATGAGAGGCTCTCATCCCCGTCCTCTGTCGCGTATCGGCCAAAACTGTTTAAATGCTCCAAGAAAGCGCGTGCCGGGAATCGAACTCGCGACCGTTAAAAACAACCCAGGCTCCGTTCCTCCTTCTCGAAGGTCTACTACTACAAGTTGTAGTCTACAACTCAAGTAATTACAAGATGATGATTGATAAAAAGACTACTAATAGATAGCAGAATGTAGCAGTGATCGTGATGGTGTGGTATCAGCAACAACAAATTCCCAATCTTCCTCCTACTGCTGTGCACAGGCCACACTAGGGCCCCTGTGACCTTCCTCGTCATCTTCATCATAGGCCTCACCACCGCCACTCTCCGCCCCCATACGCGCGCTCACACTAGGATCCATATCGACCAACTCATGATGTTCATATTCCTCCTCCATCTTTTTGGTAATTCTCGGTGAACCTTTAGGTGCCGGCAACACTTCTTTCAACTTCCCCATTGCTTCCTCCGATAAACTTTCCGGGAAAACTATGTCCAAGATCAAGAACAGGTTGCCATACACAAACGGGTTCTCATGTGTGGGCATTCCCTCTCCTTTCACAGACTTCAAAAAATGCTTCTCACTCGTCATATCAATCGGTCTGATAATGTCACCCGCCTTAGAGCGAATTATCAATTTTCGATCATCCAAGTGATTCACAACAGTCGTATATCCCGTTAGTGCTTCCAGTAAAGTTATGCTACGACGAATGAATAAATCATTTCCTTTTCTAGTGAAGCCACCTGTATCTTCTTTCTGCTTCAAAACAATGACCAAGTCGCCGGGCTCAACATCGGGGCTGTCCTCATCGGCCATCCCTCGGAATGGTATACGCTGACCATGTCTCATACCCTTTTCAATATGCACCTCTACCATCTCTTTGCTGCGCTTCGTTTTAAAACTTTGCCCTTTGCCCTGACATTGCCGGCATGGTGATTGTATCTGATTCGGAAGAAACGTGGTATGCAGCATGCAAATTCAGGAAGACCCAGAAAACCTCTGACGATAATACTCTGGCTCACACGTCTCCACTGCCGATGTTTTTGAGAAGAATCACGTCTTTTTACATTCCGAAATCTCCAAATAATCCCGAATCGCAGCCTCGAAATATTCACAAACGTTACATTCGGACTCTGCCTTCGAATGAACAACATTTATCGCCCTATCACTGTTGGAGGAATATATGTTTGCTTCCCTCAGCTGAGTCCAGGAGAAGTCTCCATTAGGAAAAATACGACTAAGCATTTCCCAAAATTTTCTCCCAGATTTTTCATATTATCACCAACACACGCGGCTATTTTCCCTCAACACTGCCCTACCACTCCTCCCTATCCTCCTCACTTGTTGAATCATTGGTCCCATCCTAATGACCTTTACAGTAGCTCCTTGTCCATCACATGCATTACAAGTAGTAATAGGTACGTCCTTATCAACCACAACACGGTTAATCATAAGTTTTCGGGTAGCCCCAGTGTACAGTTCCTTCAACGACACTTCCAAGATATGCTGTACGTCATCTCCTCTACGTCGTCCTCCTCCGCCACCTCCTCGTCTGCCACCGCCAAACATCATATCGAAAATATCAGTCGCGTGAGCCATACCACCTAAGCCCGAACTTCTCGGAAATAGTACCAAGTACCTGTATATACCTACCATCTGAATCGACACCCTCTTCACCAAATTGATCGTATTTTCTCCGTTTTTCATCGTCACTTAATATCTCATATGCTTTAGTTATCAACTTGAACTCTTCCTCGTCTCCCCCTTTATCTGGGTGATGTTGCATGGCCAATTTGCGATATCTGCAGCAGTGTTGGAGTAGGGATATGTGTTCGCTTTCCTCAGCTGAGCTCAGGAGGAGTTTCCAAAGCTAATTATACGAGTTGATATATGAATTCGGGTAGAAGTGTACAGAAACCAATGAGAAATCCCCGAAATTCGACACCAACTGCTCCACAGCGTCAAACAATTATAATGATAACATGTAATATAATTAATAACATGTTATCAATGTGCATCAATGAAATACATTCCAGAAGTCTGCCATCAGCTATGGTTGTACTCTCAAAATCGAAAGCATCGATAACGGTTTCGCTCATACTATTAACACGAATATGAAGAGGTAGAGCCCGCTTACGCTTTTTTTATATCAGAAGTAGAAGCACTTTTTTCAATCCCAAGAACGTCATAGAGCTTCTGCGTATCGGCGTTTCCCGAGGGTCGAGCGCCGAAGTCCTCGCCAAACATATTGCCGTGACCGAAGAACATTTTCGATAAAAACAACAAAAAAAACCGTCATAAAGCCATAGTACTAAAACATAACGCAACGCCACGAGTGAATCAGAAAAGTTATTGCTACCATCGATTGAAAATCATAGAGAAGAGCTCGAACAGTAGCGACAATAGTAGCACAATGAGTCCCTCAAATAACGGCAACTTTCCTAATTCTGTGTATTAGGGAATTATCTATTAAAATAAGAAGGATATCCTATGGGCGTCCCAGTGAACCCGAAAAATGTTGGCACTGTTGAGCACGTGGACCCTTTCACCACTACCTGCTATGGACCCTTCCTCATACACTTCATTTGTCTGGTCAAAAAGGGCAGTAAAAGCTGCACTCTCTTCAGGATTTATATCGACCAACCTGTGATGCCCATAAATCTCCTCCATTTCATCACCAATCGTAGTGATATCACTCGATGCCGGCAGGACCTTTCGCTATGCCCCTAATAAGATCAGTAGCTCATGACGGGGCCGCTATGCCTCATCCCCCTAAGATATGCCCCTAGTAAGATCAGTTACTCATGACGGGGCCGCTATGCCTCATCCCCCTAAGATATGCCCCTAGTAAGATCAGTTACTCATGACGGGGTCGCTATGCCTCATCCCCCTAAGATATGCCCCTAGTAAGATCAGTTACTCATGACGGGGTCGCTATGCCTCATCCCCCTAAGATATGCCCCTAGTAAGATCAGTTACCCATGACGGGGCCGCTATGCCTCATCCCCCTAAGATATGCCCCTAGTAAGATCAGTTACTCATGACGGGGCCGCTATGCCTCATCCCCCTAAGATATGCCCCTAGTAAGATCAGTTACTCATGACGGGGTCGCTATGCCTCATCCCCCTAAGATATGCCCCTAGTAAGATCAGTTACCCATGACGGGGCCGCTATGCCTCATCCCCCTAAGATATGCCCCTAGTAAGATCAGTTACTCATGACGGGGCCGCTATGCCTCATCCCTCCAATATATGCCCCTATTAACATCAGTTACTCATGACGGGGTCGTTATGCCTCATCCCTCCAGGATATGCCCCTATTAAGATCAGTTACTCATGCTAGGGCGACAGCAGTGTCCCGGTACCCTCTTGCACCAAGACTCTTGGTAGCAACATCACTCCATATATGATTGCTCCAAAGTGTGTCATCGCTAGTGTAGGCCATACTCATCTGTCTCGCATCGTCATCTATACATTATTTATTTCCCGTCTATCCATTCCTATACCGATCCTGCTGGCTCGTTATTGCAGCCCTCATCAGCCACAGCACGGAAATGGGATGCGCTGGCCGGGTTTTATGCCCTTTTTAATGTGGATCTCAATAAACTTCTCACACTTCTCGCTTTTAAGACTGCGAGTTGCAGTCTGCGACGATAAGCCAATTGCATTTACTCTACCTTAGGACCCATTGCTCGTGCATCTTCATGTGGTATCACGGTGATACTATCATCGTTTCGCATGTTTCTACCCGATGGGCGAGCGATATTATGAGATTCGTAAGCTTCTCACTCTCAGTATCTTTGTATATCGCCCGCCTTAATGTGTAACCGTGAAACCGTTAGATTCCCCATTACCCCACGGTTGCCATTCTTTGTGGTATTATATCTGCTATTGGATATACTCTGCTGGTCTCTGGCCAACCTCTATCTGTACTCTTCTAATATGGCTCCTACCGTTGCGTTACATAGCAAGGATATGACATTGGGGGCTGTGAGCCGAGAAGTCATCAACACTGCCAAGGACGCCATTACTGATGCAGCGTTGGCTATCTATGATCAGCCTGGTGCGCGAGCTGCTCAAGACGCTCTTCGATCTGCCCTCCTAGCCCTTCCAACCATCAAACCTGATGAGGACATCCCCGTTGATGAGACTGATAAGACTCGCATAGAGTCTCCTGAATTCAGTACATCACTGCATGGCCATCTGACGGGAGAGTTGAGGTCTATGTTGAACGACGAGCTGATCGAAGAACCTCTTTGGCTCACACCTGTATGTTCGTGGCTGTCTCGCGCTTTCTTGGACGGTTTGGCTACATCGTATCGAGGAGCGGCAAAGCTGAATCTGACTAACGTCCCGGCCAGGAGCGCCATCAAGGGAGAGTTGTCAGTAGCTTTGACTGAAACCAGGAGTGCTATTAATCCCACAGCCGCCATTGGTGCCTCTGTCGGTGTTGGTAACACTCAGGTCACTCAGTCAGCCCTCCACAACCAGTCGAACATGGATCTCTCTGGCTCTCCAACACCTGGTTCGGTGCTCGGTCAAGTGTCCACACCAACCCCATCAAAGTGGAACCAAACCGTTAAGGACGTCCATCTACTGGCGGGTCGCGAGCCTGCCAAGGATTTCAAGTTCGCCGGTAACGCACCACATGGTCGTTATGTGGAGTGGCGTTCTACTATGCTGGATATCGTGTCATCTCACCCATCACCCCATGTGAGAGGTGCCGCTATTCTCCACTTGTTGGAGCAACCACTGAAGAAGGACATCAAGCGCGCTACGGGCAGC